TCCCTGTGCGGCGTTCCCTGGGTACCCCCGTCGTGCGGCGGTCTGGGGTTTTCCCCATCAGTATGGGTGTGCGGTCTGGGCCCCAAACAATGGGGCGGTCCTGGGCCCCGTACAGTACGGCGGTCTGGGCCCCGTCAGTGGGGCGATCTGGGCCCCGTTGGTGCGGCGGTCTGGGCCCCTTCAGTGGGCGGGTCCCCGGCCCCATCGTGGGGCGGTCTGGGCCCCATCAGTGGGGTGGTCTGGGCCCCGTCAGTGGGGCGGTCCGGGCCCCGTCAGTGGGGCGGTCTGGGCCCCGTCAGTGGGGCAGTCTGGGCCCCGTCAGTACGGCGGTCCGTGCCCCGTCAGTTGGGCGGTCCGGGCCCCGTCAGTTGGGCGGTCCGGGCTCCGTCGATGGGGTGGTCCGGGCCCCATCGGTGGGGCGGGCCGGGCCCTGTCAGTGGGGCGGTCTGGGCCCCTTCAGTGGGGCGGTCCCGGCCCCGTCGGTGAGGCGGGTCTTGGCCCCATCAGTGGGGCGGTCTGGGCCCCATCAGTGGGGCGGTATGGGCCCCGTCAGTGCGGCGGTCTGGGCCCCGTCAGTGGGGCGATCTGGGCCCCTTCAGTGGGGCGGTCCCGGCCCCGTCGGTGAGGCGGTCTTGGCCCCATCAGTGGGGTGGTCTGGGCCCCGTCAGTGGGGCGGTTCCGGGCCCCGTCAGTGGGGCGGTCTGGGCCCCGTCAGTGGGGCGGTCCGGGCCCCGTCAGTGGGGCGGTCCGGGCCCTGTCGCACATCTGCTGGCTCCTGGCTCTCTGGAGGATTCTGTGTCCCTCCCGGGCTCAGCGCCGCGTCCAACGTGTGTCTTCAATTTGAGCGCTGACGCCCGCAGTGCGCATCACTTGTTTTCTGCACCCCCCCCCCCGATCCGGGGATGTTCTGTTTCACAATGTCCTCTTCCAGGAATTCCACACGGCTTTGTTTTTTTGGAGCATGTTGGAGGCATCTGGGGGGGGGGGGGGGGGGGGGTGATGATGCGTCCGCGGAAAATGGATTCCCAGAGAATGCACCAGGCCGAGGTTTATTCTGCTTCTATTTATATGCCTTCCCTGGTTCCCCCTCCCCCCTCATGAATATGCTAATTAGACTTTTAAATAAAATCTTTCCATTTTCATTACATGCTTTATGCTAGTGCCTAATGATGTCACCACTGGGTCTCTGTGCTTCTCTATGAAATGATGTTTTATCTGCTTATTTTGCCTTCCTTGGTCCCATCCCCTAATGCACATTGTGAGAAGCTCCCAGTGTGCGGTGACCTCAGAGGAAGACATGTCAGTCCAGGGGAGGAGCTGGTACACCTGTGAAAGACTGAAGGGGAGGAGCCGGGACACCTGTGCAATACAGAAGGGGAGGAGCCGGTACACGTGCCAGACTGGAGGGGAGGAGCCGGGACACCTGTGCAAGACTGGAGGGGAGGAGCCGGGACACCTGTGCAAGACTGAAGGGGAGGAGCCGGGACACCTGTGCAAGACTGAAGGGGAGGAGCCGTACACTTGTGCAAGACTGAAGGGGAGGAGCTGTACACCTGTGCAAGACTGAAGGGGAGGAGCCGTACACTTGTGCAAGACTGAAGGGGAGGAGCCGTACACCTGTACAAGACTGAAGGGGAGGAGCCGTACACCTGTGCAAGACTGTAGGGGAGGAGCCAGTGTACACCTGTGCAATACTGTAGGGGAGGAGCCAACACACCTGTGCAAGACTGATGGGGAGGAGCCGGCACACCTGTGCAAGACTGATGGGGAGGAGCCGGCACACCTGTGCAAGATTGAAAGGGAGGAACCGTACACCTGTGCAAGACTGTAGGGAGGAGCCAGCGCACCTGTACAAGAGTGAAAGGGGAGGAGCCGGTACACCTGCGCAAGACTGAAGGGGAGGAGCCGGTACACCTGTACGCATGTCTGAAGGGGAGGAGCCGGTACACCTGCGCATGTCTGAAGGGGAGGAGCCAGCGCACCTGTACATGAGTGAAGGGGAGGAGCCGGTACACCTGCGCATGTCTGAAGGGGAGGAGCCGGTACACCTGCGCATGTCTGAAGGGGAGGAGCCGGTACACCTGTGCATGTCTGAAGGGGAGGAGCCGGTACACCTGTGCAAGACTGAAGGGGAGGAGCCATACACCTGTGCAAGACTGGAGGGGAGGAGGCGGTACACCTGTGTAAGACTGGAGGGGAGGAGCCGGTACACCTGTGTAAGACTGAGGGGAGGAGGAGCCGGCACACCTGTGCAAGGCTGAAGGGGAGGAGCCGGTACACCTGTGCAAGACTGGAGGGGAGGATCCGGCACACCTGTGCAAGACTGGAGGGGAGGAGCCGGCACACCTGTGCAAGACTGGAGGGGAGGAGCCGGCACACCTGTGCAAGACTGAAGGGGAGGAGCCAGTACACCTGTGCAAGACTGAAGGGGAGGAGCCGGCACACCTGTGTAAGACTGAAGGGGAGGAGCCAGTACACCTGTGTAAGACTGAAGGGGAGGAGCCGGCACACCTGTGTAAGACTGGAGGGGAGGCTGGAGCTCTCTCCTTTTAATTGCCAAGATGACATCTTTTCTCCGGAGTTCCTCCTTAATGGTGTTTTGTGATCCTCGGTCCGGAGTTCTGCCCTTAAACTCCCCCCCTCCCCCCACCCCCTCCGGTTCTCTCCGGCTTCATTTCTATTGTGATTTTCCCAACAAAGAATTTTTTACCTCCAAATAGGGACATTTGGCAGCCAGGATCCTCTGGAAAACACAGCGAGATCTCCCCCCCCCCCCTCCGGGACCCTCTCCCCCCCTCCTCTCAGATGGAATCTGCGGAAGGACAGGGATTTGAGTGTTTTGGCTAATTGGAAGCAAATTTAAAGGACACGTCCTGTCCCGAGCCGGTGCCATCCGGGGACATTTCACTTCTGGAAATTCTCTGCCCAACAAGTTCTGTTGTAGAAGGAAACCGCGAGGAAGAGAGATGGAAATGTCGTCTGCTTGGGGGTCACAGGACATCGAACTTCAGTCCTCAGTACAGAGATTGGGCAATTCTGGTCCAACCAACAAACCCCCCGATAATGACTCCTCCCCCCCGGAGACTTGGAGGGGGTGGGGAGGGGTGAGGGGGTTCAGTGGTGCCATCGAGTCCATCGAATTTATTATTCTCCATGGCTCTTCCGTGAGATGACAGCGGCTTGTGGTTGGATCAGATAATAATCTGCATGTCTGTTGTCAGGAGGAATAACCAATCAGCAAGCAAAAAAAAATTTGATTCTTCCTCCTCATAAGTGCCTGCTGGTATCCTGCCACCGTGACCCTCCCCTGACTACCTGCTGCCACCGAGACCCTCCCCTGACTACCTGCTGCCACCGAAACCCTCCCCTGACTACCTGCTGCCACCGAGACCCTCCCCTGACTACCTGCTGCTATGCCCCTCCCCTGACTACCTGCTGCCATGACCCTCCCCTGACTACCTGCTGCCACCGAGCCCCTCCCCTGACTACCTGCTGCCACCGAGACCCTCCCCTTGACTACCTGCTGCCACCGAGACCCTCCCCTGACTACCTGCTGCCACCAAGACCCTCCCCTGACTACCTGCTGCCATGCCCCTCCCCTGACTGTGCTGCCATCGTGACCACCATGACCCTCCTCTGACTACCTGCTGCCATGCCCCTCCCCTGGCCTCCTTGCACCGTGACCCTCCCCTGACTACCTGCTGCCATGCCCCTCCCCTGACTACCTGCTGCCACCGAGCCCCTCCCCTGACTACCCGCTGCCACCATGACCCTCCCCTGACTACCTGCTGCCACCGAGACCCTCCCCTGACTACCTGCTGCCCCTGGCCTCCAAGACCCTCCCCTGACTACCTGCTGCCATGCCCCTCCCCTTGTCTGCCATCGTGACCCTCCCCTGACTAGCTGCTGCCATGCCCCTCCCCTGGCCTCCTGCCACCGTGCTGCCACCCTCCCCTGACCCTCCCCTAACCTGCTGCCATGCCCCTCCCCTGGACTCCTGCTACCGTGACCCTCCCCTAACTACCTACTGCCATGCCCCCCCTGGCCTCCTGCCACCGTGATCCTCTCCTGTCCTTCTGCAGCAATCCTATACCCCTGGCTTTCCACTGTTTCCCACTCTTGCTGCCATGCTCCCTCCAGGTTTCCTGCTGCCATGCCCCACCCCTAGCCCCCTGCTGCCTTCCACTCCTGCCACCATGACCATCCCCCAGTGATCAGACTGTACATTGTACCTTTGTAGAAGGAGGAGGAGGCATTTCCTCAGTCTCCCCTCCCCCAGTGATCAGACTGTACATTGTAACATTGAGAGGGGAGAGGCAGCAGCAAGGGGCTGATCTGTGTCATCAGGTTGTAGCGATAAGACCGCCCTTGACAGATGTGATTGGCGGTTCCCCCCAGACAGGCGATACAATTGGTGATAAATGTGGCGTCGCACACAACAGACTGCGAATTCCTGATGAACAGTCCCAGCGATGTCGGCGTTCTCTCCGTGTCTGGCGCGTCTTCTGCCCGGCGATCGGTCTTCTGGTCGATTAGATTTCCAGGATGAATCTGATTAGTGAGAATTGATTGGGAGACAACAGAACTCCTCCGGCTTCCGATGCAATAATGAGGTCGCAGGAAGTTCACGCGGGACGGCGCCGATCGACGTTAAAGGGAACCTTTCCATGGAAGCCGCCACCTACATGTGCGGCCATTTATCCACCCAATCATGTGCTGGCTGCTCCACCCACCCCTGTTTTTGCATTTGGTCATGCCCACATCTTTTCGGCTCCGCATGCCCCCCCCCCCCTTACCCCAAATATTTTGTCTTTATGCCCCCAATGTCTGCCTCTTGTCCCAGAGCTCTGTAATCTGTTGTTTTGGGTCCTGTTAAAAAGGGGGTTGTCATTGATTTTGTGGGCGTGGCTACAAATGAGGGTGTGGTTTTGTGGGAATAGTTAAAAGTGGGTGTGGTCAGTTGGGGTGTCCCCCGGATTTAATTTTGAGAGTACAAATAATATTAATACAATATATATAAAAAAAATTCGTAAAATAAATAAAAGTAAATAAAAAATCAAATAAAAAATAAAATATATCAAAAAAGAAATAATATATATAAATAAAAGTACATAAAATATATAATAAAATAAATAAAATATTGTATTTTTATATTTAATATAAATTTCTCATTTAATTTCTCCTCTCTCTGGCTGCATTCCTGCAGCCATTGAGAACTACTGTGAGAGCTGTGATTGGTCCCAGCTGGTCACATGGTACAAGGCTGTTGTGAATGGCCCTGTACCATGTGATCTCGGTGATCATTCACAGATTTCACACGTAGTAAGCAATGATGTCAGAAGGGAATTCTTGCTTACTACTCTGCATGTGATCACTGATTGGCCAATCAGTGATCACATGATCGGGACCTCACACAGAGGTCCCGTACAGGGATCGGTGTTCCGCTGTGTCTTCCGGACACAGGGGGCACTGGATTGCGGTGCTGGGCGCTCCCAGGGGGCGCACACAGGCCGGAAAGCGGGATGGACGTTTTTAAACGGCGACCCGCCACTGGAATGCTCCCGTCCGCCCGTTTATATACATGGGCCGGACAGGAAGTGGGTAATCGGGGTTGTACTTGGAAGTATGACAAGGTGTGGGCTCCATGGTTGACTTTTCTCCTCTTCCTCTGTCCCCCCCCCCCCCCCCCTTTTTTTTTATTTTTTTTTCTTTTCTCTCCTTTTTTTGGGATTTGCCATTGCTTTTGGTTGTAACCAGGGGGGACTGACCATCTGGAAACTCGGGGTCAGTAGGGGGCCCGGGGTCAGTAGGGGGCCCCATGAGATGCTCCTGGTACCTTTCTCATAGGCTTTTTTGAGTTTGGGCAAGGACACAGGGGCCCCATGATCCCCTATTGCCCGGGGGCCCCATGAGTTGTCAGTCCGCCCCTGGTTGTAACCTTACCATGTAAGCATACCCCGCCCCCCCCCCCCCCCCCCCCCCCCCCCCCGCCCAGTTACTGGATCCATCTACATAATGCAGGCCATACATGCTTCAAATTCTGAACGATTTTCCATCCGAAATTCGAAAACGTCGTTCGCTCGTAATCCGACAACATCGATTTCTAAAATTGGCCGACCGAGTCATAAAGTTCCCCCATATAACAGGCGAGACTTCTGTTCCTTCCAGGTCACGGCTCATGACGCATATTCTTTTCGGAAAAACGATCGTACGATTTGACCATCGTGGAGTCGAAAATCGGTCGTTTTTCACAAATTTTTCCAAAATCACCGAAAAGGGGAGGAACCACGAAAATCAACCGGTGCCATTGACCCCGCTAACAGCAAAAATCGGACGATTATTCTTAGGTCTGCTTTTCGGATGAAAAATCGGTTGATTTTCGACCCGTGTATGGCCGGCCTTATGCAGGGCGTAGACGGTTCGTTTATCGGACGAATTTTCATACATTTTCCAGCATGATGGATAAAAGAAACGAGGAGGAACCGCGAAAATCGGCCGATGACATTGCCCCACTAATGGTGCGAATATCGGCCAATGATTCGTTTATCGGCCGAATTTTTGTCACAAAGAATAGTCTATGGGCTGCATTAGTCTGAGAGGCAGACGGGAAGACTTTTAGGAACGCCTCAGCAGGTCTGAGACCCCGCCCCCATCATCACGGCGGAGTTCTCCTTTAACTATGTGACTGTCGCAGAGACAGAAACAGAGGAAAGTGGCGGCAGAAAAAGGTTCTTTTTTTTTTTTTTTGTTTTTTTTTTTTTTCTCTGTTTCCTTTGATCTGTTATTCTGTCTGCGGAAATCTTTCCTCCTGTTAGTGAAGTGCGAGCGAACGATCGTTCATCAGCGATCCGTCATCACAAGAAGTCGCAATAATGTGACCCCGGGCCGGAAATTCCACCCCGACTCGCCCGTCCAATGACCTCCCGCTTCCAAACAGGACGAACCCACCAATCGGAGGAGACGGGACTCTGGATGGGGAATGAGTTCGTTCTGCTTCTACAGGGAAAAGAGCCAACGCTTCCGCCGATCACTGGAATGACTTGTGTAACGAGCTGACACATACCGCCGCGCTGTACAGAGGACATGGAGGCGGGCCCATCAGTCTCTGTCCCCCCCCACCCCACAGTCCCCCTCAGTCCCATCTGCTCTGTACCAGAGGAGCTTACGCTCTAATGTCCCCTCCCCCACAGTCCCATCAGTCTCTGCACCAGAGGAGCTTACGCTCTAATGTCCCCTCCCCCACAGTCCCATCGTCTCTATACCAGAGGAGCTTACGCTCTAATGTCCCCCTCCCCCGCAGTCCCATCAGTCTCTGTACCAGAGGAGCTTACGCTCTAATGTCCCCTCCCCCACAGTCCCATCAGTCTCTGTACCAGAGGAGCTTACGCTCTAATGTCCCCTCCCCCCTCCCCCGCAGTCACATCAGTCTCTGTACAGAGAGCTTACGCTCTAATGTCCCCTCCCCCGCAGTCCCATCATTCTCTGTACCAGAGGAGCTTA